AAAAGCACAGAGTGTTCAATCGAAACTAGGTAATTCCCATGTTAATTGAGAATATTTCTTATGAATCACCAGTGGGAAATACTTTCAATTTCTGTATGAGACTTTAGTCAAATATTGTAGAAATTTAGAATGAGAATGAAAGTTTCACTAATACTTTTAATTGAGGAAAGAAACTCAACACCCAGACAGCTGTTCGAAACATTTTCTCTAAAACCGTATAAAACTCATTTGCTTTGCTGCATATAAAACAGATTTTAAGCCGAATCCGTTTTAACGCAGAACTAACTCGACAATCATTGCGTTTTAACTAAAACTTAAAATGAGGCACGCGTATTAATGAAATATATATATTATTTCTATAACCCAAGTTCAAACTAAGTTGATAAAGCATAGTGAAACCGCACTCATTCGTAGCTGACCTCAGTTTTTTCTTAGAATTGGATTGACAATGCATATGACGTATGTATGTATGTTTGTATAACAGGCTATAATAGTACATATAATTATATTTATAATCAGTATATGAACATATATATGTATATGTATATAGGTATGCATAAATATGTATGGGCAGCATTTTAACAATTTGGTTAGAATTAGAATTATTTTAAAAGGCGGCTTTGTTATACGCTTGTATAACAGTCGACTCCATATAACAATTTTGCAAGCTTCCCTTATGCAAATCAAAGTCTATTAACCCCGCATTCTTAACATTTTCCATTGTTTTTTTCTTTCTTTTAGATTAAGAGTTATATACATACATATTTTTAAACCGAATGATTACTTGTTTTGAATGAAAATAATCGTCATACGTATGTATGTATTTATTTAAAGGGTTTTACCCCACTTTTAATTCGAAATCTAAGTTGATTAAGAATAACCAGAAAATGTATTTATTACACAAGCAAAAGATAACCACATTCCAAATAGTCATCTCTGAATATGAATCTTTTGGTATGTGTTTGCCTGTTTATATACATACACATTTTTGCATATATAGTATAAACATCAATAATTGTCTGCGAAATATGAAAATATTTGTATATTTGTTTATATGTAGTATAAACTCTACAGATAACCAGAAATTAGCCCTATTTGCTTGCGAGCAGAGGGAAACCCCACATTGATAATTGTTTAGCTTAAATTAATAACATGAGACGTGCAAATAATGAGAAATTATAATATAAAATAGCATCCATGAAACAAAACAAAAAACTAAGCTAAAAACAAGTTATATCTGATTGAATTTCATACAGAGTTGGAGTTGTTCAGTTAGACTATATATGTACATATGTATATGACAATCTATCAATGAATTACACAATAATATGAAATTTATATATAGAAATTATCGGAATTTTTTATTTACTTTTGTTAATATTTTTTCATTTGTATATTTTACTTTTATTCAGCATGGTTGTGAAATGAGCTCACTATAGGCGACTGATAAAGAACTGAACTTGTAAGCATGCATTCGTACAAAACAGTCACACACTAATATTGGGTATATAATTATTATATAGTATATATAATATAAATAATACTAGAAGCGTGACTTGGACTAGCTTTATCTTTTACAGTTTTTAAACTAGAAGCAAAGTTTAAGATTTAGGGTTTAGCTGGAAATACTAAAATGGTTGTCTATACTATATGGAGTCTAACTGGCATATATTAAGCATTCTTTTGAAATATATATACTTGATATAGCTTTTTCTTGTAATATATCAAAAATACATTTTATTGAATATTTAAATTCTGATTTATCTGATGCCTTCTTCAGCTCTTATCCCAAGTAAAAAAAGTCTATAAAAATATGAGAACAATTAATTTACTCAAGCATTATCAGGCCTAATAACCATACATATACACATTATATTGCAATCAGGCACAATTCAATCAATCTAACTCTGATCCGTACATTATCAGGCCGCATGAATATTTAAGTCAACAAGAGCAATTCCACAATTTGATGAAATCGAAACAGAAATTTAAAAGCGTTCAACCTTAACTCTGATTCAACTGGTGTATCTCTGGTGGCATATGACATGGATACATATGTATGTCTGTCTATCTGTCAGCTTAGCGATTGACCCTCAATTAATTTTATTGTTTTCCTTTTTTGTTCTGTGCATATCAGCAATTAAAATCTGCAGGAGCCCAAACGGAAATTGAACATCCGTTTCAGGCACCAGAAAATATGAATCCCCGTGGATACGAATATACATATATACAACATATATATAGTAAATGAATGCTACTTGTTCCACAGCATCGCCCATGCAAATGATGGCCATCGATGGCAGCTCAAAGGAAGCGTTGGCGTCGTCCTGGAGCAGCAGCAGCATCAGCGGCGGGGACGRCAGCGACGACAGCAACTGGCCAGCGAGCAACTTTTATGGCAACGGAAATCTGTTGCCAAATATTGAGGCCAGGGAAATGGTGCCCAAATTTGTTGACATGGCTTTCAATTTCCCGCCGTATCCGCTGAACAAGAACAGACATTGGCGCTCCGATAAACACTTGAAGGAGCTGGCCCAGGTGCATCGGACATGGCTGCAATCTCCGGCAGAACGATCTAGAACAAAACTGAAACGTGGCCTCCAACCGTATAGGCCGACAATGAGTCTGAACGATTACGTGCTGCAGCCGGATGTGGCCAACTACTACTATAAACGTAAACGCGAGCCAAGTTCACGCTTTAAGCCCTCCATCAGTGCTGGTGATTAGCTGCCTGTTTAGTAGCCCGTCCAACCTGTTGCTAAGTGAAGTATCTCTCTTTCTCTCCCACCAAACCCGCTCTCTCTTACTTCCAGGAGTAATGACAAATCTGGGTGATTTCTTTAAGCAGCTGAAGGCGAACGTTCACTATGCCGAGCAGTCGCAACATCAGCTCGGCGAGGAGGAATCTCAATTGCTCGAGGGCGTGCATCCGCATCAGCAAATGATAATCGACGACAATGATGATGATAACGATGCGGGTGCTTTAGATGGCGCCGACTATGATTCCGGGCAGCCGTCCGATCGCAAGGGCTCCAAGCTGCGCAGCTATCGACCATCGCAGAAGATACGCTCGCTGGTGTCGCGTAATCCCAATGGATATCGAGGTTCGCAGTTTATTGATCCCAGCTACATGTGGTTGGGTCTGGGTAAATGACCATAAGCTGCTCCATCAACAGGTTGCAACGATTCGAGAGATCCTCTTCTTTCCGCCGCGCCCCGCCCCTAAAACTTTTCAATCTTTCATCTGTGTGTGTACATATATATATAAA